GGGGGGAAAATGTCGGGGCTGGGGGGGGGGGGGGAGAAAAACACCACCACCGCTAAGGAACCTTGCAGAGAGACTGCGGGGCGAAGAGAGAGAAGGGGGACAGAGAGACTGTGGGGCGAAGAGGGAGGGGGGAGAGAAAGCTGGGGGGAAGAGAGAGAGAGAGACTGGGGGAAGAGAGAGAAGGGGGGAGAAACTGGGGGGGAAGAGAGAGAAGGGGGGAGAGAGAGACAGAGAGACTGGGGGGGAAGAGAGAGAACAGGGGAAAGAGAAATATTTACTCTGTGACTGTAGGGTCAGGCTGCTGTGGACATTAACAAAAGATTATACTATACTCTATGCTGGGAATCATCTGGACAATGAACAGAGAGGGAAAGATAGATACATTTGGCTGTTACTCTGTAGTCCCAAACTTATACTTCAGTCATGCTGTTGGAGAGATCATTCAGTATTAGCATACTTCTTTAAAGGCCTGCATTCCAGTCCTACCTGGTTAAATTGGGTGTGCCATATTATGGATTCTTTGTCTATCTGGAGTGCTTGGTCTGAAGGAGCTTGAAGATCAATCTTTCCAACTTTCACTCGAGCAAGAGATTGGTTTGGGAATGTCACCCAATTGATAACATCAAATCCTGCTACCAATTCCAAATTATAGTTAAAATAAATCTGGTCTCCAGCACTGTTGTTAAATGAGACATGTCTCAGAAAGTGATGGAGCTATATTGAAAGAAGGAAAGAGAACTTTGAAAAAAAAAATCAATTAGACGTTTTCCCACCAGTACATTTATTTATTCAGTGTAGTTTATTCTGCCTCTTCAGGGAACCTGCCCAAGAAAGCTTACAAAACAAAATACAATAAAAACTTCTCAGCCTTTAAAATTTCTTAATTAAAAGCCAGAATTAAAAGCCCAGCTGTAGCATACAACTATAATATTAAGCAGCTTTAAAAAAACTTTCAAAAGTTCTCAGACAAAAAAAGTAGATAATAAAAATGAAATTAAAAAGCAGCATGTTAATTAAATGCCTTCCAAGAGAATAGCATAGGCAGCAGATGAGAAGTAGGGTGGGCATTACATAGGTGAGGTGGCCCCACTGAAAAGGTCCTATCTCTGACCACCACAGGTCTTACCTGTGAAGGTGAGAGTACTGAGACCAGAGTTTGTAAGGATGATGTGAGCTGTCAGCCTGTACAATGTAGAAGGAGGTTGTTTTTCACATTCTCTGGGCCCAAACCACTTAAAGCCTTGAAGGAATGAACCAGCACTTTCAATTGTCCACAGAAACAAATGTGCATCTAATGAAGATCTTTCAGCACTGGAGAAATATGATCCCTGTATCTGATCCCTAACAGTAGCTTGACTGCTTCATTTTGGGTTGACTGGATGCACTTTGGACTAGCCACATTACACTAATCTAACCTGGATGTAATGAAAGCATGGCTCACCATGATAAGGTGGTGCTTTTTGAGGAAGGGCCACAGTGGGCATATCAACCAATACATAAACAGTCTAGTTAATATACAAACAACATCAGAAATTATTTCAAAAGGAATAATGGAACATTCAGGGTAGAAGAACATCTTTTTTAAAAAAACGCAAAGAAAAGCGGGGATGAAGAAATTGGTCTATGAGTACATAACATTGTATAGTGCCCTGGAGGAAAATTTTAGGATCACAAGGTTTGGACAGTTTTTTTCATTAAATAATTAAAATATTTGTATGCTACCTCTCCTTTTGACTCATTTGAAGCTAAATGAGTTCCAGTGAGGGGAATTGATTAGGTTTAGAGAGAAAGTGTGAGGCCATTGTAAGGTCAAACTAGAGAAGACCAATCTCCCATTCCATCCTAACTCTCCCTTACAGCAAAAGGAAGAACTGGAAAAACCCTAGAGTCGGACACGACTGGCTTTCGAGCAAGGGAACCTTTACCTTTACCTTTTACTGAACTCAAGCCCCAGTTAAGTTGTATTGTGCTATAAGGGCTGCGGTCACACGCAACATTAGCCACGCAAGAGATACGGAAGACAAGCGGAGTTTCCGGTCGCGATCTCACCAGCACATCTGGGAAGCGTAGCTCTTCTGTGGCACAACTGAGGCTTCCTGCCGAAAAAGCGCAGCAAAAAACTAGTACCTTGGAGGTACTAGTTTCCAGAAACTGCGGGGCAAGGGCGGGCGTCTGATCGCGTTTCCGGTGGCATCCGGCGCCCGCCCATGTCCCCTTGCGGAAAAGGGGTTTTTTTTTCCCACGTCTCCGTGGATGCGCACACGCACCCAACGGAGCATGCGCATTCGTAGTGTACACAAAAAAAGAAAACCAGTTCGCCGCGCCGCGCGCTTCTTCATTGCGACCTTTTACTGAACTCAAGCCCCAGTTAAGTTGTATTGTGCTATCAAGTCATGTTTTCACCATAATTCTTTAAGGCTGATCAATGCATCATCCTGTTTTATAGATGTCATTGTGCAGAAGATGGAATATTCTGAAAACTGTATCTACATTTATCTATGTTTCGCCAGCAGTTGTGACTGGCATCCTCAGAGGTATAACACGGAAAGATGGAGTACTCTCTGTGTCAAGGTGAGACACCTTAACACAGAGAGTACTCCATCTTGACACAGAGAGTACTCCATCTTTCTGTGTTATACCTCTGAGGATGCCAGTCACAGCTGCTGGCAGAACGTCAGCAGCTTCAATGCCAAGAAAATGGCCATACAGCCCAGAAAATCTACAACAGCTAATGAACTCCAGCCGTGAAAGCCTTCAACAAAATATTTCTTTTTTCCTTTCCCTGAAAGATCCCTGTGCTGCAATACTGTTGTGATTGTTTATTAACTCCCACAATGGTCACTGATAGTGTATTTCTTAAAGCGACAAATACTGCTTTATTATTTGGGGATGTGGTTAACCCCCCCATGGTGTGTGTTTCTCTAGATTTACGATTTTTCTGCAAACCTAGGGTTTTTCCAGATCTGCCTTTCATGTCCATGGCTCCAGACTCTGAATGTAAGTGTCTACATATTTGGCCATGTTAACAATTAGATATATAAAAACATAAAATTAAAATATATATCTTATGTACAGATATACTAAATAAATTATATGCAATTATGTATTTGTGCTAACACACACAAGGCTTGCCTATATAACAGAAAATGCAGTTGGGTCTTTGTGTAATCTTTTCAAAAACAATTTCATATATCTTCTTTGTGTTACAGTTAAAACAGATATTATGCCCCACATGTTAATTTTTGGGATAAATTTTGTTGTCTGATGGTTTCCTATGAGTGTTCTTCAACTTCGTGTACCTAAGACAATTTTTAGAATTTTCTGTCATTTTACAGTTGCTTCAAAGACATGTGATGCAGTGGAGAGTGTTGAGTTATTTCATAATACTGCTCCGTACTGGTGGAATGAACTCCCGGAAGAGATCAGGACCCTGCAGGATCTTTTACAGTTCCACAGAGCCTGTAAGACAGAGCTCTTCCACCAGGCTTTCAATTAAGGAGCCACACCAAACACGTGAGGAGGGACTCTGTGCCCTGGTCATACCATTTACAGCCTGTGCCCACTGCACAAATAAGCTGAACAAACTGAGCTGGTGGGAGAACCCCATCATGATTGTTATTGTCACCTAAGTAGTACTGTCAATTTGAAACCTACTGTTTTAGCATTTTAGGATAATTGACAAATGCATTGTTTTATGGGTTTTTTATGATTGGTTTTAATTGTAATTATATATGGAATTTTATGTATGCTGCCCTGAGCCTGCCTTGGTAGGGAGGGTGGGGTATAAATTGAATAAATAAATAAATAAAATAGTATTTTTTTAAAAAATGTAGTTGTGCGAGGTTCATTTCTTCCTATTGCATTCTTGTCTGACACAGACTGGAGTATCTCTTTAACCCACAGAGGTTGGACTCTTGCAGAGGTAGTTTATGGCAACAGCTATATTGCCAGCATTACACACCTGATGAAGCAGCTATTGGAAGTGGTAAGGAAACACCTGTATCATAATCACTCTTAGGCTGTTGGAATTGCTACATGAATCACCATACCGATTAGAGGAGGGATCCACTACCTGCCATGGTTGCTGATGCTGAAACTTCCTTCTTTCTCCTTCCATCTTTTTTCTAATATTTGATGTGTAAGAATACATAGCATGGAAAGCATAGGCAATGGCATAGATCGCATTGTAGATGCTGTAGCTATGGCCAGTCATGCTCATTTCAAATCCAGGCAGGTCCTTCAGTGTCTCACTCCCAGTGCAGTTACCTTGATTCACACTGCTCACATCCATATCTGGGAACACACAGCCAAATGTGTATGACCAAAAGTCTCTGATGAAACCATCTTCTTCTGCACTAGCAAGGTTTCTGTTCTTAAAAAAATGTCGGAATCCTTGAAGTTCGTTGGAGTGGATTCCAACAGATAATGCACCATGGAAGATTTGTACATCCCAGTGTCTTTTGTTGGCATGTGTTTTTAATTCAATCTGGTCTTCTAGAATCCAGACTTTACCTTTGGGGTTTTGCATCTTGTGATGAAGTTGTACAAGATATAGCAAACCTCTCAAAATTGTCCAACAACGAACATCTCCTTTGAAGACCACTACATTAGCTGTACTCTTCATGATTTCTCCATACATTTCTGCAAACCATTTCATATTGTCTTCCCTGAAATCACGATAACCTAAATTGGAATATGCATACATGAAGGCAAAACAGATGCCATACTGGGAAAAGATCGGAAACATCTTCTCCATGAACCATTCTAAATTCACACCAACCACAGCAAAGAATCCAATCCACGTCCAATTGAAGTGGAGAAGTAATCGAACAATTCCCAGGTATTGATGCATGTCATTTGGGATCATATTATAGAAGAATGGAACTTGGTTGTTATCCATCATTATTGGGGCAGGACCATACAAGAGCTAAAGACAGATTTTCAGAACAAATATGATGGAAGTTTACTCTATGAAGGCTTATGAGAACATAAGAAATAAAAAAAAATCCCCCCCTGAAAGAAATAGAAGTAAGACAAGTTCATTGGCTCACCTGGCTATGGACATAAACAGAGTGTGCTAAAAAAAAATCAGGGACCAGTTATTAATTAGCTTAATGTACTACTTTGTGAATCTGAAATTTTATTTTTTTACATTGCTGTCAAAATTAGAGCAATATTTTTAAGGCTTTGAATTGTCATTTATTTCTCTTAGTGAACAAAAGCAGCCAAAATCTCTGCCATTAGGACTTTTGTCTGTTAACTTGGAACTCAGGGCTACTTTTACAGGGATAGATCCTATGTAGGATACTGCTGTGCCCCTTACCTAGTGGCCCCCCCTTGCCAGGGACACCTTGAATGCATGAGTGGGAAATTGCACAGACAAGAGTGTCAGGCAGATACTGACATTCAAGGCAGCACCACCAGCACCAAGCCCCAGTGCCAGTTTATCACTGCTTGTTTGCCTTATCAACAGCAATGGACTGGTGAAAGAATGTGATAGACACGTGTGTGAACACACCACTGCTAGTATTTCCTATCTTCTTCCACTCCTCAGGGATTAGAAAGAAGGAGTTGAAAGGGGAGTCCACACTGTTCCTTAGCATAAGTCTTTTTCCTAGGTTTGGTGTATTTACTATTGACTATGTTCCCTACATGCCAACCCCAAAGCTTGCTGTGCTCACGATACTTAATGGTGTGTTAAATAATAAATGAGCTGTTTTGACTCCTGCCAAAAGAGCTTTAGCAATGCTGGATGAAGGTACATTAAGAGTAGACAAAATTTCATTTATAACACGCCTTATACTCTGCCATTTTACTCAATGGGGAAACAAAGCAGCTCATATTATACTCGTAACTACCCTGTGAAGTAGGTCTGACTGTGATGATGTGATTGCCTAAAAATCACCCAGAAAAATTATGCAACAGGTTAGGGGTTCAAACCTGGGTTGTTGTGGATGATTGATGGGATTATACAGGCCACTATGTTCTTTAAAATGGTGATGGTGTCTTCATGCCAGACATCAGGATGCCATAATGTCTACTTTGGCTCTCAGTTATGCCTTCCACAACCAGCTGTATCTTCCAGTATGAATAGCAGAGGGTAGGGGAGGGAGTTCTGGAAATAACCTGGGCTAGAATGTTCCAGTTCCATTTGTTCTGGGTAGAGCAACTCCCCTCATTAGCCTGAAGCTAGAGGCCAGCTTTGAGGCTCCAAGCTGTAGTTTTCCATGAGTTATATAACTGCCACAGATAACCAGAACTTGCAAGGCAAAATCATCATCATAATAATACATTAGGTGGAATGGGGGTTGTGAAGATTGTATGAGCCAGAATGTTGTATGAGCCAGAATGGCACTGTAACCATCATCGTCATGATAAAACGGGTGGCCAATTTTGAGGTGCCTAGCTTTATTTTCAGAGGAGTCATGCCTGACATTGATGGAGGGCTGGAAAGATGGATGGATGAATGGACAGATGCTTTTATCATTATAGATGAGAGCACCAATTGCATACACTGTGACATCTGAAGTAATGGACCTTTTCACAGCTTGTATTTTCTGGTCTACAATGAGCTTAGCAACCAACAGGAGACATGGTAAAACATAGAGTCTCTGGAATTCCTAGGGCTACCCAACATCACTTCTAGGTTTTTCCAAAAGTGATACCATGTCACACAGATGGCAACTATTGATTAGTTTTTCTCATGTTGCTATTCAGAGTGGTGGTGGGCAACCAGGGCTGCTGGTGGGAGGCCTGCCATCATAGTGGAAGGCCTGCAGGAAAGGCTGACATTAGTATGCAAAGGAACCACATGACTCAGTATGGTTATACATGAATCTGTTCATGGTTTGAATTCCCTGGGTGACCTTAGGCTAGTTACAGTCTAAAGTACCTCACAGGTTTTCTGTAAGGATAGAATGGGAAAAAAGGAGAATGTCCTAAACCAGTTTGGGTCCTATTTGGGTGAAAACTAGGATATAAAGTAAATACACACTAGAGTGTGTGCAATATACAAATTAAATGGCATGAAAAACTATTTAAAAAGTAAACTCTTCATACAGTACGCTTTGAACTACTGTAAAATATTTTTAGTTTGAAGGATATATATTTAGTTTCATGGATACTAACACAGATAATGTTACAGGGGGGATTTTTTGTCCTATACAAAAGCATCAATACCCACACAAAAGATGCATGTAAATAATTTACAAGCATCAATATTTGACACATATAGCGTACCTGTGGAATCTTGTAGATGCTCAGAACATCAGGTATATGCTGAGAGCTTTCTGAATGAATGCCCTCCAGAAATGCATGTAGATTGTCCTGGGTATCACACTTATAGTTAGGGACAAATCTCTTCCTTGGAGAAATAAGTTGCAGAGCAGCCCGATAAGTTAACCTTGGATGAAAATAGCTGTCATAGATATGGAATCCTAAGGTGGCATTTGGCAAGATGTGGGGATTTTCATTGATCTCCTTGACAGCAAATGCCCAAGCTAGGATGTGCTGGTAGTTCTGAGGCATCACCCTACAGAAAATGTACATTTTGCAGCCTAAGTATATTATGTAATTTGTAAAATATCGGTGCTGATGTTATGCATTTGTTTCATCACCATTATTCATTGCTATATTTTGGATCATCCTCCGTAAAATTTCATAAATCAAATTTCACTGCATCAGATATGTCTGCAGTGTGAAATGATTTTACAGGCTTTTATAACCAAAACCAAGTGGGGTGGAGAGGGACAGAAAGAAGAAAAGCTGTGGCAGAGAAAATGGAAGTCCAGTTGTAAATCATTCAGGTATGATTCCCTGTGTAAGGGACTGGAATAGAAATGGTTATTATTATACATGATGAACAATGAGGCAGGTTGGAGATTCCAGCCTCTAACGGACTACAGATAGACTGAAGATAGGCAAAACATGATGAAAGAAGTCTGAGCAAGTAAGCTAAACAACAGCTAATTAAGGAAGGCTCTGATCTGAATGGCCATGGCTAGCTCCATCTTGTAAAATCTCAGAAACTAAGCATGGTTGGCCCTGGTTAGTGTCTGGGTGGGAGACCACCAAGGGAGTCCAGGGTTCAACACAGAGGTGGGAATGACAAACTACCTCTGAACATATCATGCCTTGTAAACCCCACAAAGTCTCAATGATTCAGCTGTGACTCGATATTTAAAAAAATCAAGTCAGGTACAATGTGAACATAAGAAGAAGTAACTAAAATCTGCAATGCATTACAGTACTTATCTAATTATTTCTGTATAATACAACATAAGAACCACCAATGAACATGTTAAAATGCTGAAGCACCAAGGATTTGCAGAGATGTTTCCAAAACATATTGTAGAGGGAACACAATTTCTGTTTTAAAAATTGCAAGTTAAAAATTGTCTTCTGTTGTCATCACAGCAAGGCAACTGTATGTGCCTGTATAGTTTTGTGTGTAATGGAAACTGAGGACAACTACAGCTGTTGTGTCCCTGAATTCATAAGATGGGGCAATCCAAATATCAAACAAAGAAGGACAGAGGTCCTCATTACAAATAAGTTTAGGAACCAGTTTTCTGCATTGCAACATTCTACCATTAGACAGACATAATTCATTTATTGGAGGAGCCATATCTTGCTTTTCTGCAATGACCAATTTCTAAACCATTCATATTTCATACTGAATCCACAGTACCAGATCATTCTTCTACTATGTTAGAGTTAAGATTGGTTTTGGTGCTCATTATACTTATTGACTCATGCTGGGACTTGAGGCAATGTATATATTTACCTTATCTATATCCCACCTTTCTCCCCCATGTGGACCCAAAGTGGCCTACATCATTCTCTTCTCCTCAATTTTATCATCAAAATGACCCAGGGAGATAGTTTAGGCTAAAAATATGTGACTGGCCCAAGATCACCCAGCAAGCTGCCATGGCAGAATGTTGCTTCATTCTATAATATCCCTCATTGTTTAATGACTGCTTCTTTACACTAAATGGAAATTTTAAGGATTGTGCCTTTGATATTCCACATGTAAGGCAGGTGCTCTTGCCACTGTGTCACTTTCCCTTCCAGAAAGCTCTGACCCAACACTTTCTACATGGACCTCAGCCAAGAAACTCCAACCAAGAAACTCAAGCAAGGCACAACTGAAAGTCTGTTTCCAAAATAATCTCACAACCTTTCCATACACTGCAAAAGAGACACCAACCACAAATTTACAATGCTGACAACAAAGAGAAGAGTGACAAGCTTCATCATCCCTTAGTTACTTCAGTTAAAATACAGTCCTAATCCATCCTAATCTACCCAGAGACAAGTCCCATTTGATTTCATGGGACTTGCTTCCAAACAAGTGTTCCCAGGAATGCAGCTTTAATATCTAGCATCTCCAATCCAGCATTTCAGCTTCTGCTAGCCTGCCAGCAAACTCAGTAAAAGAAGGAAAGGACGTTCTTATTCCCCCATCATGGTTAGAGCCAAAAGCCCCACAAGACAACAGGGGCTGGTGGTGGTGGTGGAAGCCAAATCAAGAGAAGGAAAGGACTAATATGAAGGGAGCAGGGAAAACAAACAAATGGAGGTAATTAAGCTAGCTGGGAATTTCCACCCTTTCAGGCAGCCCTAGATCCTCATGTACTTCATACCATCCATTAGCCAAGAAAACCTGCACTGCTGGCTCTTTCCCCAAACCTGAAGTTGGCTTTGACTGTTTTTGGAGTCTCTGCATCCTCTCTGTTCTCAGTCACTGGTTGAGCTCATACATTGCTGCCTCTGCCTTGCTGTCAAAATGGGTATCCTATGCCTTCCCCCCTTCACAGCCCAGCTCCGCAGCAAAAAAAGTATGCCAAATGATGAGAGAACAGCTTTAAGGAGCCTTCTGTTCTCAGCTCTCTCATAGGCTGTACTGCATGAAGACCAATTGGGTACAAAACTGCCCCTGCCACTGTTTTGGTCAGAAATGTGCTTATTGATGCTCTTTATTTTACCATCTTCTTGGACTGTGATTAAATTCCCTTTAGTACAATTTTTCATAGCTTTTGTTGATGGTTTTAACTGAATGTTGTGTATCATTAAAAATCCCATTGAAGTCATTACAATCTATTAAATAAATTAATGTCTAAATCAAAATATCTCCACCTTTACCTCTGTTAATATAACAATATTGCTAAATGTGGTGTTAATATTGATCTAATAAATCTTACAGTACAGAGAAACAGATAATTTGTGGACACATCAGGTAGAATATATATAACCTGGACACAAGAAAATTCCTTACACAACCTCTTCAGGTAGTATCCTATGAGGTTTTTTGTTTAAGTTGTTTGGACTGGGAACAAAGAAGGTCTGAGAAGCAATGCCACCAATGATAAGGTCTCCTGGTTGAAGATATTTGTGAAGAATAGGGTGGCTATCCACAATGGCACATTGAAGAACATGAATCTTTCCCACCACTTGAGTCAAAAGCAGTATCACCACCACTACTAACACCACCATTCTAAGCGCAAAACTTCCCCCAGAAAACAGTTTCTGTCTATAATACTAATATACGGTAGTATGTATTATTTGAGTAGCAATTCTTGCGGTTTAGAGTGTGCCGTCTACATTGCCAGGGGCAGTAATTTCCATTATTTCAATGGCCTGACTAGAAAGATCAAACTATGCAGTGACTGGCTTGAAGCCAGTAGTATAACACAGAAAGCATCAGTAATCAGCCCAATGATCTACTGCCTCTCCCTCATTCTGAAATCAATAGGAGAATATATATATCATACCTCAGTGTCTTTGTAATTAGTTTTGTTATTGACCGCTGGTTTCCCACCGAGATTTTATGAAGCAATAGAGTTAATGACCAAACTTAGGTTAATTACAGGGTGCTCAATTTATGTTATTGTAAAAGAACTCATATTTGTTATTTCTAACTAAACATTACGTATAGCTGTGTAGCAAGAAGAAAATAAGCAGGACCAGTAATTAAACAACTTTTTCCAGAGTAGACATTTATATCTTTGGTCATGCCAATGAAGTTTGCTCTCCATTATGAACTTCACCAACCCCAAATGTTCATTGTAAGTACTAGCAGAACATAACAGTCCCTGAAGTTTTCTCTGCACCGTCTGTGCCAGAGATGATTTTCTGTTCCCCTGTAGTCCCCTTTTCTCTCTTTCCCCTCTTCAGTTTCCCTATGGCTACTGCACTTAAGGCACATGATACTAGCAGGTGGTAGGCCAACCAACTGAGTAGTCAATCACTGAGCACAATGGAAAAGCACTCCTGCTTCTCTCTACCTTCTTCTCTCTCTCTCCCCTCCCTTCCTTCTATTCCAAATAAGTTTGCCCAGGCAGTGCTATTTATGCATTTGACAGTCCAGAAGACAGGAAGAACACATCAGAGATGGGCCTCATCAGCGCTCTGATGTGACCTTGGGTCAGTCACAAGCTCTGGCACAGCTGTTCCTGAAAGAGCAGTTTGTGTCAGAGTTCTCTCAGCCCCACCCACCTCACAGGGTGTCTGTTGTGTGGAGGGGGATGGAAAGGAGTTTGTAAGCTGCTCTGAGACTCCAAGTGAAGGGCAGGGTATAAATCCAATCTCTTCTTCTTCTTCTTCTTCTCTAAGACAAAATATTCACATAAAAGTTCCGCTTTCTATTATCTCACTGTAGAACAGGATTCTACCTTTCTTAAGGTATTCAGATTTGGCTGATCTCTGCAGACATTTTATGGCAAAACAGGTTAAAACAAAGGAAGACTTAAGCCAGATGGCTGACTCATGGGGGGGGGGGCAATGGTGCCTGAGGCTGGAATTTGAAAGTCTCAAGAAAGGCAGATTTAACCTACTGTTAAAGATGCACCCACTGGCATCAGGTCATAGAGTGTGCTTCTGAAGAGTCTGAGGAATGTCAACTGCTTAGTATCACAATACAGGAAGTTCTGGTCCTTGAAGAAGAAGAAGAGTGGATGTAAACCCCGCCCTTCACTACTCAAAGGAGTCTCAGAGTCGCTTATGATCTCCTTTTCCTTCCCCTCCTCACAACAGACACCCTGTGAGGTAGGTGGGGCTGAGAGAGCTCTGAGAGAACTACTCATGAGAGAACAGCTCTGAAAGAACTTGTAACTGACCCAAGGTCACACCAGCAGCTGCATGTGGAGGAGTTGGGAATCAAACCCAGTTCTCCCAGATTAGAGTCCATGCTCCTAAGCACTACACCAAACTGGCAGCTCTTCAGCAATGGAAGGTTCTTTGGAGGGCCCAAAAAGATTCATCACAATAATTCTGTGATTTTCTCTCACAGTAGCTGCCCATGATGATTAAAAAATTGTAAAGGAATTTTGATCCAAAAGCTGTGAAAAAGAAGTAGCTTTGGATGGGCTCCATATAATGCCTCTGAAATCAAACACATGTAAGGGTATTTCACTTGAAGTGTTTAAAAATAAATTACAAAAATCATATACCAAATAAATTACAAAAATCATATACCAAATGTAAGATATATCTAAATATACGAATATAGCACATAAAGGAAATGC